CATATGGAGAGATCTGATCCACAATCCCTTACATTTGATTTTCTCAGTAGATGTTTTGGGTATGACTAGCTCAACTTTGGCTTCTCTTAGCAAAGGGTTTGCCGAGCTTTCAACTGATGGTCAATTCATGCAACTACGGGCCAAACAGGTACCTTTCTTGCTATATTATTGAATTGATCACTTTGGCAGTTTGCTTAAAAGAGGTCTGAATGTGAATCAGGTTTGGTCGAGGCGGATTACCGGTGTAGGTGATGCAATTGTTCAAGGAACAGAAGCCCTAGCACAAGGTGTTGCCTTTGGGGTATCAGGAGTTGTTACGAAGCCTGTAGAGAGCGCCCGACAAAATGGTATTCTAGGGTTTGCCCATGGGGTAGGACGTGCGTTCCTAGGATTTATCGTACAACCAGTGAGTGGTGCATTAGATTTTTTCTCATTGACTGTTGATGGAATTGGAGCAAGTTGTACCAGATGTTTGGAGGTTTTGAGCAACAGGACCGCCTTGGAGAGAATTAGAAATCCTCGTGCTGTTCATGCTGATGGTATACTCAGGGAATATGATGAGAAGGAAGCTATAGGCCAGGTACTGGCTCAGTTTATTTTTCTTGTCTACTAGTGAGACTGGAAATTGAGAAATTTTGGATGCTTAAATCCGCGAAAAAATCCAAAACTTCATAATTACAAGTCGGCTATCCTATTTTTTAATATTTCAATCTGATAGTTTTACATTCTAAGTCTCCTTATATGATATGGTGTAAGTTATACTGAAATATTACCAGAAAGCTACGAACTTACATTCTTCTAGTTAAGCTTGCCACTCATGCTCAAAACTCCAAACTGGTTCTGATTTCTGTTGGTTATCTCGTCTTGCAGATGCTCCTTCACCTAGCAGAAGCAAGTCGACACTTTGGCTGTACAGAAATATTCAGGGAACCCTCAAAATTCGCTTTGACTGATTGCTATGAAGAGCATTTCCTTGTTCCATACAAACGCATTGTCATGGTGACCAACAAGAGAGTTGTGTTATTACAGGTTAAACCAACTAGAATACGATTTTACTTGCGGGTTTTCCATTAGTGTCTCAATATTGTTTTTATTAACCGAATGTTTGCTTCCATTTAGTGCTCTGATCTGGATAAGATGGATAAGAAACCCAGCAAAATCATGTGGGATGTGCCTTGGGAGGAACTTATGGCGTTGGAATTGGCAAAGGCAGGTAGCCAAAGGCCCTCGCATCTCATACTGCATCTGAAGAGTTTTCGGAAGTCAGAGAGTTTTGCTCAGGTTATAAAGTGCAGCGTGCCAGAAGAATTAGATGGACTAGAACCTCAAGCTGTCCGAATCTGTTCAGTAGTGCGCAAAATGTGGAAAGCATATCAGTCTAACATGAAAAATCTTGTTCTCAAGGTTATTGCTATCACTATTCTCATTATAGTTATAAAATTTATATTTTGATTAATAATTTGGCTATGACTCAAGAGAAATTTTCCATTTGAAATGACTACTCCCAAGATGCTTTGGTCTACTATTTTATAGTAAAAATATGATGATAAAACATGTTTTAAGTTTTCTGGTTTATATTCCACATAACTTACTAACCAGTGTAAATTATGGAAGTATAGAAGCTCATACCAGTGCAACACACCTAATGAATTTTCTTTCTTCTCATTGCAGGTCCCTTCAAGCCAGAGACATGTGTATTTTGCTTGGAATGAGGCTGATGGAAGAGACTCAAAAACATACAAAAACAAAGCTATTATTAAATCGAGAGAACTTTCTTCTTCAAGCTCTGTCTCAGATGATAGAAAGCTTGTCAAACATAGTATCAACTTCTCAAAAATCTGGAGTAGTGAGAGAGAATCCAAAGGTCGATGTTCTTTGTGTAAAAAGCAGGTAAGTTCCTTTCCATCGCACTCTATATCTTTGAGCTTAGAAAGCGGTTGCCCTGCGTGTAAACCCACCAGTTGGTACAGAAAATTTCTGATTTTCTTGCCTTCTAGATTTTATTTCTTTTGATGACACTCGAAAATTTTGGGTTCTAGCCTAAGCTAAGATGTGGGCACCAGGATCAAGACTTCAAACCCTTGTCATCAATATATGTCAATAAGAATCCGTGACATATAACTTTATGAGACGAGACATGTATAATCACCCACCACATCAACCGTTTTGAGGTTTTCTTAACAATTATTTCCTTTTTTGCTTTCAGGATTCTGAAGATGGAGGAGTGTGCACTATCTGGAGACCCAGTTGTCCAGAGGGGTAAGTAAAGCCAAAAGAGATTTAAAATTCCAAAAAACTATTTTATTGTTTCTTAACTTGGTTATTTGGTACCCAAATGGTGATGCTGTAGCTGCATTGAGCCGTTGAAACTTAAGCAGTTTTCGTCATTGTTTTTTTGCCAGATTCGTGTCAGTGGGTGATGTAGCTCACGTTGGTAGCCATCCCCCAAATGTTGCTGCTGTCTACAATAACACCAATGGAGTGTTTGCACTTCCTGTGGGTTATGACCTTGTAAGTATCTCTCTAACATTTAATTTCAACCTTAATCCGTTGCACTTAACCGCAAAATATTTTCAACCCTGAACTCGTCGTATAAAGTGCACAGCATCCAAATTGTGAGCAAACGCAAACCGTGTCAAACCTGAGTTTGTGTGTTTTAGCATGATACATATTTGTTTATTCACTTGTCAGGTGTGGAGGAATTGTTTAGATGATTACATAAGTCCTGTATCGATCTGGCATCCAAGGGCTCCTGAGGGATTCGTCTCACCTGGATGTGTTGCAGTGGCTGGTTTCATTGAGCCAGAGCTTAACACAGTCTATTGCATGCCAACGTCTCTGGCCGAGCAGACTGAGTTTGAGGAACAGAAGGTTTGGTCCGCACCTGACTCGTACCCATGGGCTTGTCACATTTACCAAGTTCGGAGTGATGCACTTCACTTCATGGCTCTGCGACAGACCAAAGAGGACTCTGATTGGAAAGCAATTAGAGTTCGAGATGATTACAGGTCCATAGAATCTGAATCGGGAACGAATTTGCGTTTAGAATGAAACTTTTCAGTTTTCACTTCTTTTTTTTTTTGGTTTTTGGGAAACTAGTACTTCATGTAAAGAAGTAGACTTGCGTGAAACGAGAGCTTTTTTTTGTTGGTTTTTTGTTTGGCGTGAAAAGAGAGCTTTTATGTTTGATATTTTTGTACATTTGTGGATACAATTACTTGTGCATTCTAGGAAGCATGTATCTGTACAAGTTCTTATATAACAGAAATGTGTCTTAGTTTTAATAATAATAAGATTTTTAGAAGATTTTAATTTATAATTATGAAAACCGAAGACTATTTCTAATTTCCTTTTATTACTATGGTATATTTTTAGCTCACATTTTTTTTATATATGTTAAAAAGCTTGAGCTTGAGCCAAGACTAGTTGGTAGGATTCGGAGCTCTCTGCTGATCGAGTAATTAACTCGATTATTGAACATAAATATCGCTATCGTGTGATGCTGCTCTATACAACACAATTGCGTCTATTATTATAAGATTGTTACGATGATTTTTAATTATTAGACGTTGATTGTTCGTAAAGTTTTAAAACCTTTAGTTGTGGCGGGAACGTGCAAAGCTTAATACTCGACAAACGCACTACTAGATCTTCACGCGCTACTTTAGCGCGTCAATTCCATCGCTCAAATTTACTTCTTAATACTTGAGCGTAACGGCAGGCGTGGACGGAAATTTAGGATCAAGATTTACATAAGAAGAGTCTGAGCTGCATTATTCCATGAGTCAACTCTCTTTGCATCTAAAATGAGTGAACAGTTTTCAAAAAATCCCAGTAGAATATGAGAATATACTTCTCATCACATATAAATTCTTGAGAATATAATTTTTGAAAATACTCAAATGATGATTGATCCAAACATGATTAATTTATTGATTAAAAAGGTTCATCATAATTTTGAACGTGATGTTATACATCCAAAAAAAATCTTTGTTAAATATTTTTAGATTATTTTTGGTTATAAAAATATGGTTTGATCAATATGTATATATATTTCTATTCTACATTACCCTCCACTAGTAGTGGATCTGTAAATAATAAATGTCGTGTAATAAAGAAATCAAAGTCACGCGCGTTGTGAAAACATAAAAAGGAAGTAAATCGTCGACGTCGTTATTCAACTACCATTTCTGGATCACAACTCTCACACAAACCACATCTTCTTCTTGTGAGAGACAATGGACGGATTGATCAGAGGTTTGGTCGACGTGGCTATCGGAGGAAACCAACGCCGCGGCGGAGACGATGATGAAGGGATCTCGAGGGACGAGAGATCCAGATCTACTTGGGCTGATGTTCGTACATCGAATCCTCTTCTGTGTTATCAGTTATTTTTTGTTGAGATTTTGATATTGTGTTGAACGATTCTTCATTCTGGATCTGGACATGGTCGCAGGTGGTCTCCGGTGAGGAGGAGGATCAGAATCGCGCGGGAGGATCGTCGCACGGTCGACGCCAGAATTTAGAGGTAAGAATTCAAAATTCAAATCGTTTGGGAATTCGAACCGATTTCTGGAAATCAAAACTCTGATTAGCAAGTAATGTTATAAACTTGGGAGTCTCTGGATTTAGCAGAAACACATGATTCGTAGAAGAAGCTTATAGTCAATCGAATTTAAGCTACGTCATTGGCAATTGTAACGTAGAAGCATATTTATTCTGCTTTGCGTTACTGTTGGATAGTCTTCTTAAATGAAAATATCTCTCAATTGTTTCAAGATCACGAATATATGCATCTAATGTCGCGTTTTCGTCTCTCGGCATAGGAGAATCAATGGGAGAAGAAGGGAGAAAGGATTCCTACACGGAATTCACATAAGGTTTGTGATCATCAAGACATTTCAACATCTATATAACGCATTTGAGTTTCAGTGAAATTGCTACTTGATGAAACAGTCTTGTGTACCAACACGGAATCTTGTGAATCATATTTATGAGAATCTCTTAAACTTGGGTCTGTTATCTTTATTTCATTCAAAATAGATCATGCTCTTTACTCTTTAGTCTTTACCTGCAAAACAAGCCTCAAAGATTTGGCATTTTGATTTTCCCACACAGGAGGACCAGGAAGAGGATACATATGCGGCTAAAGTAGCCGAGAAACAAGACTTCTCGGTGAGATATAACTTCATTTCCTCTTTACATTAGATCCTCTTAAAAAAACTAATGTCAGTTTAGCATGTTTGCTAAGTATCTAATGTTGGCATTTGATTCCATGTGCAGGAGAGCCAGCAAGAGGACAATGATGGTTGGGAAACTGTGGGAAAAAAGAAACCTGCTAGGCAATCGCATAAGGTTTGAAATTTTGAAACCAAGACGGAGCCCTAACCGCTGATTTTACCCGTCCTTTCACTGATTTGATATGTGTGATCTCTCTTTCTCCGCAGGTCCAGAAGGAGCAATGGCAAGATTACAAACGCCCAGCAAGCGAACAACACTACTCAGACGAAGTTGAAACTTATGGAAACCTACAACCCTCACAACTAGAGCTCTCAGGTCTCTCAGAAGCTTGCAACAAACTGTGGGAGCTCGATTCAAACCGCCTTGTTCCTGGAAACGATTATCAAATCGACTGCGGAGATGGGAAAAGGGTCCATGAGAGAGCTGATATGGCTGAAGGACTACTCTTCTCTTGGGTGAGCAACGAAGCCTTTAGAAAACCGACTTACGCCAGATTCTGTTCATTGCTTGACAACTACAACCCGAACGAAGGTTACAAAGAAGTAGTCACAGAAGAAGAGAGGCAAGAGCAAGCGGCTTTCATTGAAGAAATTAGCAGAACCGCTGTGATCAAGTACCTCCACAAGTACCTTGTGCTCAAGGACGTTGCTCCTGGAAGCTACCAGGAGTTCAAGAGAATGTTGACAAGTCTCTGGTTTGATCTCTATGGCCGCGGAGGTACCTCTGGCTCATCTTCTGCGTTTGAGCATGTCTTTGTAGGTGAGATCAAACAATCTGGTGGGGAGCAAGTCTCCGGATTCCATAACTGGCTTCAGGTAAAACACTTTTTGTCCTCCCCGCCATGAATTCAAATCTCTGGAAAGCCCGGATGAAAACAGTAAAACTTACGAACTATTAAATTTGGGCTCTCTTTTATCGTAGTTTTACTTGGAGGAAGCCAAAGGAACTGTAGATTATCAAGGCTATATATTTCCCCGACGTCGCGGTGAAATTGTAAGTACCATAGCTTCATTCAATGCTAAATTGTCCTTCAAATATAAGTACTTCAAAACAGGTGACTAACCTAGAAATCACACTTTTGATTCATACGCAGCCTGATTCAGAGACTCAGCTGCTAACAATCCAATTCGAGTGGAACGGTGTTCTAAAATCAGTCTCAAGTACTCTAGTTGGAGTAAGTCCAGAGTTCGAGTTGGCTCTATACACGATGTGTTTCTTCATGGGCAGAGAAGAAAACCACATACAGTTGGGTCCATACAATGTCAATGTCAAATGTTACCGACTTGGCAACAACCGTATCGGCTCAGCTTTCCCCATTGCAGAATCTTGAAACCTCTCTTGATGGCTCACAAAATATCTGCTCCTTGCGCAGTACTGTATTGAATTATTGATATTGTCAGATCTTTCCGTCTACATGTGTAAACTAGATAAATCCTCCTGTGATATTTCCTTGGATATTTATGGGAAACCATGTCTTGTCCTTTCTGAAAATGATACAACAATAGAAGAGATGTGTGAGAAAATATCTTCTAATAATTTTTATTTCAAAGAGGTATTTATTTTGTTTCGGTTACAGATAAACTCGTTGGCTGATATCTACACTTGGATGTTCACTTATCACATCACAAAGCAGAAAAATATCTTAGCGACAATGACACTAAGCTTAACTGTTATTCACTCAAGGTTCTTCATTCTGAAGTCTAGACGATGATACTCTTTAACCACTGAGGACTGAGCTAACCACAAAACCAAATCAGTTTGCCATATACAGTTTACCTTCTAACATAGCAATGGTGCAAATAATGCGATCTAATCTTCTTGCATTAACAACACAGAAATATTTCTACACACGACGCTAAACAGTTTATGAAGATTAGCTTGGCCTTTCCCCAATTAAAAAATATAACACACTCACTCACCACCAAGTTTTACCATTATTTCATTCCTCAGAGGCCACAAGACATCACAAGATCATATGATTTCTAACTATAATGACAAGAAATAATGTTCAGAAGCCCTAGTTAGATGTTAACCAAAAATGGTACAAGCAACAATTCAAATAACAGAGAAAGAAAAATGAACCAACAAAAAAAAATAAGTGCCAGAAATTGGGTTCTAGAATATCCAATTTGGTAAAAATGTCGTCGACCAAATAAGTGAGGAGGGTAAAAAAGAGAGAAAGAAAAGAAATGAGGAGGGTAAGCAAGTAGGTTACGTGGAAGGAAGATATCAACGCATAAAAAGAGAAACACTCAACGTTAAGGGATCAACCACAAATCTTGGATTTTTGCTGATGCGTGTGTGAAAACAGGTCCACACGCTTTGTACTTTTTTTCATCATCGGTCTATAATAAAGCTCAAGCCTTTTCATGCACAGAAGAAATCTAGAAAAAACATTAACTTGTTCACCTCAAAATTAAACTAGGAAAACGACAATGAGATTTTTACCTCAAAAGCCAAAATCAACATCTACCCATTCTTTCACTCGTCACAATCATGATTTTCTTACAATGCTTACCTTAGAGTTTAGAGACATACTGTCACAAAAAAAAGCTTGTGTCTATTTCCAATTCTTGACCGTAGATGTCACAACATGCATATATATCATTGTTATAGAGCAAAACAAGAAACAAAGCATATGTATCTAGATATACTTAGCAAGACATTATTGTAGTCTTTGAATCAACATAAGGATTAATGATACAGAATGAGGAAGTTCAAGACTTTATACTCAGTTTCTTACAAAACAAATTTCTTTCTAACTGCAAAAACACCAATTAGGATTTAGAGAGCGTACCTGTTTGAGTCAATATCCAATGTCGTCCACGCCTTCAACATTTCTTAGCCTTCTGAATAAAAGCACAAGCCAAAATGAGAAGGTGCCAAAGGCGATAAGGATCAATTTCTACCATTCAAAAAACTAATGGTGAGAATTAGAAACGAGAGAAAACTAACTACTTGATGAGCAAATAGCCAAAAGCGCAATCTTCGTCACCTGAATAAAGACCAAACCATCACTTTCAATGAGTCAGCAAGAAAAAGAGAGAGAGAGAGAGAGAGAGAGAGAGATTCTCTATAACATTTGCAGTCGACATGGATTCTAATGCATCAAAAGTCATCTCCAATAAACAAACACTTGAAACTCACATGGCTAATAGAATATGATCAAAGCCTTAAGTATTAAGCATTACATACACTACTGGTCAACTTTTGACAAATGTGCTACAGTAACATAGTGTCAATTTCAGTGGAGCATATTGAAGACAACTCAACAAGGATTTCATGCATCAAACTCATGTTGTTTCTGTATAACAACATATTGCAGATATAAACAGAATGCAGCATTCAGGCAGTTCAAATGGAAAATTTTGACCAGCAATTTAATTTACTAACTCCACTTATAAGACAGTTTCACAGGATAACATAACCAGGCAAGACAAAACAGAATAAACAGATCAATGGGTATACACAAAGACTGTGCCACTGCGAACAAGAGGGCCATGAGAAGAAATTTCAAAGAAAATTTTAGCCTTTGTAGGAATCTATGGGTCAATAGATCTGTCAGCTGCTTAGTTGGAAAACACAAATCCTACAGGAAAAAAAGTCCAAGAAGAAGAAAAAAAGCAGAGTTAATAGCCACCACAAGAAATTTCATATTGAAATAATTAAATCATTGCACTTATCTTCTTATTCAAATTAAAATCAAGAGACCTTAAGAATTTTCAGCCACACGAACCATGTGTTCAAAGCCAAAGATGAGAGGACAAAATTATCAGCTTATCTACATTAACAAGAGAAAGCAAGACTTTAGATTTCTGTAACTAAAAACTTCAGGAGTGAGTTAATGAATAATTTACCAACAGGCAAACAAACTCAATTATCTGTAGCTGAATACACAGATGAAATTGGAAAACTGTACTAACTAAAATATCTGCGTTTGTACTACTGAAGTGACATTTACAGTTTTTCATTTTGAGGTGTAAGAACCGTGTGAGAAGTGAAAAGTTACATTAAGCAACCTTTGTGATATTTTCTCTCCACTTTTTGAAACTTTGTCCCCAAATCGCAGCCAATCAATATTCTTTATAAATACAAACACACAAACAGCATCTTCTCTCAAACATAAACATATCTTCTATCAAACACCAATAGTTCTATTCTCTATCCTCATTTCTCAACAGAACAGAGAGAGAAAAAACTATGGAATTGACACTAAATTCCTCGAGTTCTCTTATCAAACGTAAAGATGCCAAGAGTTCTAGAAACCAAGAGAGTTCCTCTAACAACATGACCTTTGCGAAGATGAAGCCGCCAACATATCAATTCCAAGCAAAGAACTCGGTTAAGGAAATGAAGTTCACTCACGAGAAGACCTTCACGCCAGAAGGTGAAACCCTTGAGAGATGGGAGAAGCTCCACGTTCTCTCATACCCACACTCCAAGAACGAATCTAGCGTTCCTGTGTTCGTCATGTTACCACTCGACACTGTAACAATGTCAGGGCATTTGAACAAACCACGAGCCATGAACGCTAGTTTGATGGCTCTGAAAGGAGCTGGTGTGGAAGGTGTGATGGTGGATGCTTGGTGGGGATTGGTGGAGAAAGATGGACCTATGAATTATAATTGGGAAGGATATGCCGAGCTTATACAGATGGTTCAAAAGCACGGTCTCAAACTTCAGGTCGTTATGTCTTTCCATCAATGTGGAGGAAACGTCGGAGACTCTTGCAGGTAATGAAGCAACTTTAGTTTCCCTTTTGAGTAAAATCTCTGTCTCTCATTTCTAGCTTAGCTAATGCTCTATATGGTTCTCTCTCTTCCAATCTAGTATCCCCTTGCCCCCATGGGTGCTTGAAGAAATCAGCAAGAACCCCGATCTTGTCTACACAGACAAATCTGGGAGAAGGAACGCTGAGTATATCTCCTTGGGATGTGATTCTGTGCCTGTCCTAAGAGGAAGAACACCTATCCAGGTCTACTCAGATTTCATGAGGAGCTTCCGTGAACGATTTGAAGGCTACATAGGAGGAGTTATTGCGGTAAGCAGAAATTTAGACTACAAAGGAAACAAATTAACTTCATATAAGACAAGAGCAATATAGTGACCTAAGCTAACTGGATCATCATCTTTCATGTATTGCAGGAAATTCAAGTAGGAATGGGACCTTGCGGAGAATTGAGATACCCATCATACCCTGAGAGCAACGGGACCTGGAGATTTCCCGGAATTGGAGAGTTCCAGTGCTACGACAAGGTATTTTAAACTAGCAGAAAAAGGCTTTAAATCCATAAGAACACTATGTCAAATACCAGAGAAGATCATGTATACACTTTTGCTTGTTTATACTCCATATGCTTCTTCTAAGATATATACTTGTTGATTGCAGTATATGAAATCGTCACTTCAAGCATATGCTGAATCAATCGGGAAAACTAACTGGGGAACAAGTGGACCTCATGATGCCGGCGAGTACAAGAACCTCCCAGAAGATACTGAATTTTTCCGGAGAGACGGAACATGGAATAGCGAGTACGGAAAGTTTTTCATGGAATGGTACTCTGGGAAGCTACTAGAACATGGAGACCAACTCCTATCTTCAGCAAAAGGAATCTTTCAAGGAAGCGGAGCAAAGCTATCAGGAAAGGTAGCTGGGATTCACTGGCACTACAACACCAGGTCACACGCAGCTGAGCTAACCGCTGGATATTACAACACAAGAAACCATGACGGGTATCTGCCGATAGCTAAGATGTTCAACAAACATGGAGTTGTGCTCAACTTCACCTGCATGGAAATGAAAGATGGGGAGCAACCGGAGCACGCAAATTGCTCACCAGAAGGTCTGGTGAAGCAAGTACAGAACGCGACAAGGCAGGCTGGAACAGAATTAGCAGGGGAGAACGCGCTAGAACGATACGACTCTAGCGCATTCGGACAAGTGGTAGCAACAAATAGGTCAGATTCTGGAAATGGGTTAACCGCATTTACTTACCTAAGAATGAACAAGCGGTTATTTGAGGGTCAAAATTGGCAGCAGTTAGTGGAGTTTGTTAAGAACATGAAGGAAGGTGGTCATGGAAGGAGACTTTCAAAAGAAGACACAACTGGAAGTGACCTTTATGTTGGATTTGTCAAAGGCAGGATCGCTGAGAATGTGGAGGAGGCTGCTTTAGTGTAAGTTCCCACAGAGGTACATATAGTGTGGTGTTTATTGTATTCCTGTCTGATAAATAAATAGAGAGATGAAACCAGTAGAGAGTGTTAAAGCTATAGATTTGCACAATACTGGGTCAGAGCAAAAACCAAGATGATGTACACTTAGATTGCAGTTAGAACTGTGTATCCTAAGGAATATTCCTTGTACATCTTCAAACTCTATCTCATATAATATGCAATTTTTTTCTCTTACAATCTTATCTGGTAACTTTTTCATACTTGCATTAACTCGAAGAATTTGAGAACACATCGTTTATACAATAATTGCTCAATTATCATGAAAATTCTGGAAATTGTAAGTGATATAAATGGAAACTCACAGGAAAAACAATCAAAATCAAAACAGAGTTCTAACTTAGCAACAGATTACGAAAACCAAAATCGAAGAACCTCGGTCTTCGAATCAAAGCGCCTGGGAAATCGGAATACCTCACTCATGAATGGGGAGGAGAATCAGAGTTGGAACCTCCACGACGGAGCTCTTCAATTAAACCGCCGAGCTCTTTTCTCGCGGATTCTCTACCGAACATGAATCCATACCTTGAGAACGAGAAAAACAGTATAAACCCTAAATAGAAGACACAGAGAGAGCAATCAAGAAGAAGATCTAGATAGAAAATCACTCACCAGCAAGAGACGGCGGAGAACACGCCGGAGATTGCCACTGTTTGGATCAACGTGAACGATTTCTGCATTTTTCTGTTTTAAGTTTTTAAGTCTGGGAAATTTTCCGGTCATTTCTTCTGAGGATTAAAAAAGAAAGACATGAGAGCGGGAGAGAATCATTTAATGGGCCTACGCTAATTATTTTTTTAGCCCAGCTCATTTAAATCTTTATTCACAGAAAAGTAGAAGAAGAGACTGGTTCTGGCTTGGAGAGCTTTGTTTTTGAGCTAAGTCTTTCTTGAAAAATCTCCTAAGATTGAAATGAGCCAGCACAGCAAGTACTTGTGCGGTTCTGTGGAAAGGTGCTAGAAAAATCTCCTATTCTCTGGTGGATTCATATATCTATATGAACAAAAGCTCCGGCTATTATAAAGCTTGGTCGGGTTATTCTGATGGCACTTGCGGCTGCAAGGATTTGCCTAGAGGTTAAGTATGGAGATGGCTACACTATGAAGTAAGAAGAAACCAAGTTGCCTGATTCTTCTTATTATATGCTGTCTTAGTTCTGATTGGTTTTGTGTATCTGTAGTTCGTCTCTTCTTCCTAAAACAAGACAAGATTTGAACTTGAACCTTTTCATTAGACCAAATATCTTTTAATCTTATGTGCAATGAATTTTCGTTGGATTTTGGGTTTTGTCAAGCTCATTTGTATCTGGAATTCTAATTAACAGAGATGTTATTTTCACACGTTACAAAAGTAAGACAATGTTTTGTTGCTTCTATTACATGTGTTACCGTGTTACAAAGATCTTTTGTTAACACACATTGCTTACTCTTCAACAACCTATGTACAGTTTTAAACCAGCCTGCTCATAAAAGAAAAAAGAAAAAAAAAGTTGGAGAAAATAAAAAGTGAACCTGTATTGCTTGCTCCATAGCCTGATCTCTTACTTATTACTTATGAGATCTCGACATTGGTTCCAAGTGGTTCACCTTCAAGAAAATCTCAACGGAGATGCGGATTTTGACTGTGTTCTCTAGACGTCTCTCTTTCTCTCTTGTGTCTTCGAAGAAGGTCGAGGTAAGGTCATGACTGTGATTATGTCAAAAGCTTTGTCACAGCAACTCACAAGGGATCATCACCACCACTACAATGAAATGTTTGGGTTTGGACAGCCTTTGTAGCAGCCACTCTAGCAGCATTTGCTGCTCGGTTTGCAACCATCACTGCTCTGTTCACTCTCTCTTCAACTTTGACAACTTCACGTGCTTTCTCGGCTGCTTTCCTTGCTTGCTGTTGAACGAAGAGATGGAGAGAAGGATTAAATCTCATGTGGGTATTCAATTTCTAATCAATCATTGGATACATGTGTATACTCAGAAAGTTTACAGATCTAATATAAGCAGGAAAGATAATTTATAAGTTACCTGGACAGTGTCAAGAACCTTGGAATGGCTGATGGAAAATGATGAATCAGGACGAGTGGTCTGCTCGGTAGGACAGCTGAGAACTCCATCTTCCCAATGGCCTGCCTGTGTCTCACCATTCCTGAACGTGTACATACCAAGTCCTTGCCTTCTCCCCTCATGCCAGGCTCCTTCATACCGATGCCCGTTTCCAAATTGATACACTCCAAACCCATGCATCCTGTCTGCAAAATACTCTCCAGCATATGTATCACCATTTCTGCAAGAGAGATGTGGCTTCAAGTCAGATAGGTATCACTTAAGAAGAGAAAACAGTGATTGATGCAATTGTTTCGAGCTCAATACTCAAGTCAGCAAAAATAAGCTTGAACCTTGATTCCCACTCGACTTATAATTTTCTCAAAATGTAAGAATAACCGTGGCAAGAGAGGAAGACAGCCAACATTTTTGGTCTAAATGCAACTGGAACTGAAAGCCAGAATCTTTCAAAGGGTATACTCATGCAATTATCAATTCCAGTAACAGTTAAGCTTGAAAGCAATAAACTTTTAGAACATCCCACGAGATAGACATGGACCTGAACACAGCATCATAAAGTCAAAGCACAAGTAAAGACTTAACACAAAAGTCGAGACTAAAAGCCAGAAACTTTTAGACATATACGTCAATTCCCAACCGGTAACACTAAATGTTGGGACTAAAAGTTCACCCTTATACCCAAAAGCTCAACCATTTCTGCAAAAGTTAATACTTGATGATTTCTCACCTGAAATGATAATGACCAAGGCCATGTTTGACACCCCATTTAAACTCTCCAACAAAACGACTACCATCCTCAGAAGTATACACACCACAGCCATGGCTCTGTCCATTAGACCACTCACCAGCATATACATCCCCTGTATAAAATCTATAGATACCAGTTCCATGTCTCATCCCTTGCCTGTATTGACCTCGGTACCTACTTCCTTTAGCCCATGTTTCAACTCCATATCCATCATATTTCCCATCAATCCAATCCCCTTCGTATTTACCCTTCATAGAATAGTAATAAACTCCACTCCCTGAACACTTCCCCCTATGAAACTCTCCCTCGTATACATCACCAGAGCTGTACTTCTGAACCCATGAGCCAGAGTTGGTCTTCTTCTCAGTCACAGGCTTCGACCCAATTGACCAAACAACATGTTTAGTGCTCTCTTGAGACGACGACGAGGATCTGGTAGGGCTAAGCTTGAGAGACAGTAATCGAGCGATAATCAAACGAATCGATGGTAAGTGAGGAAGAGCGAACTTGAGAGAGATCGAAAGGACAAAAGAAAAAGCGATTATCGAGAAGACGAAAAGAAGGAAGAATCTGAAACTAATCAACAAGAAAAAGATATAGAGAGGAGGCACAGAGAGAAGAAGTAAGAAACGAAGATGGAAACATATCAAACGGACTCTAAGAACATGACGGAGAAGCTTCTGATTAGTCGCCGATGGGATCGATGGAAGAGATGAAGAAAAAAACGACAAAAGATACGACGGACAATAAGATGAAATTGAACCCAAGCTTGCGCGTTGTCTTCTGAAATCGTCAACGTTGAACGGATTAGAAGATTGAACCACCACAGGTCTCTTCGATGTAAGATTCTGAGACGATGAATCTGGGATTTCAACCGTTAGATGACGACTCTGAGCTTGAACTTGATTGTTATACACACTGAATCCAGCGCCAGCACCAATATCTGGAGTCAGAATCTCAGGTACCTGAAGAGGACGATGATGATGTTTAATCTTAGGTTTCGGATCCAAATCGGAGGAAGAAGATAAAAAAGCGGCGGTTTCTTTTCCGATGTACCGCCGTTCTGCTACAGTTGAATTCTTCAGATGCATTTACATACAGAATCTGGACTTTTTGGAAAAAGGAGATTGAGATTAGGGTTCTTAACAAATTAGGGTTTCTGTGATCTCAAAGACTTGCTTTTTATGTTCCTTTAAACTGTGTTTTCTAGTTTTCAGGAAATGATGAAGAACGAGCTCAGTTTTGAAGCTAAGGTAAAGAAGCTTCTGTAAATTAAAGCCCTTGCATTTCGTTTTATTTACCGTTATGCCATTCGTTCGCCCCCACTTGATCCTTAAGCTTAGTTTAATGTGAGATTAGTTAAATCTCTCTCGTCATTAAGATACCAAAAGACTCTCTTTTATTTTATTTTTTTTTTGAATAATCGCGGATCTCCCAAAGGCTTCCTAGGCCCAAGGACTAATCTCACGAGGCTGGCAATTCCCCTATGTAAACCTGCCAGTGGCCGTGCCTCGAACCCTGGTGGCGGAAGTCACAGAAAAAGACTCTCTTTTAGTTTAATTAAGGGTTTTTAGTAATAAAACCCCTCAACTAAAGATAAATAGTAAGAAAACCCCTCCATTATATATTTAGTGGAAAAACCCCTCAACTTTGAATATGTTCATGCAAATTCCCCTCTGTCTACAGTGTCGTAAAAATTGGACGGACTACAGTTCAAATTAAAACGTAACATTTTTCAGAATCTCTCATAATCGACTTCTACACTACACAAACTTCAGAGAATCTTACTATGATAAATTATGGTTCATCAATTTAGATTTTTCACTTTGAGAACTTTAGAGCTTAGGTTTGAGGATTTATAATCAGATAGAAGAAGATTTTGTTGTTTCTGTTTACAATTCATATTGTTTAAGTGTATATATGTCGTTTTTCAGTTTCAATTTAACTGTAACCCGTCTAATTTTTACGATAATGGAGACGAATGGAAATTTTCATGAACATATTTAAAGTTGAGGAGTTTTTGCACTAAATATATAGTTGAAGGGTTTTTTTACGATTCATCTTTAGTTGAGGGGTTTTATTACTAAAAACCCTTTAATTAATTAAGAGTAACTTAGCGATTCAATGTTCAAACATTAATGCCGTACATAAAATTTTAAATTTCAGGTCTTTTAAAGTAATGGAGTACTATTAATTTAAATAATAGTTTCAATTGCTTGTAGAAATGGCAAGATTACGAACTTTTATTATGTTTATCCGGATGGTTTTGATACTAATACAATGATTTTTGCTTGTACGGTTTAATTTTACGTGTCTGCCATTTAGCGTGGCAAACATGACTCTTTTCATGATTTTAATTCTTATTAATGATATTGTTTTAAGCAAACATATATCACATAAAATCTACTGTTACTAATTATAACCTTCAAATCAGACAATATTTAGCATGCATAATTCTAATATTTTTAGGTAATGCTCACGTATCGACAATCAATTATTTCAACTACTCATTTTATTCTCTTTATATCCAAATAAATTCATAACCAATCATTGTAGTTCTCTTATGTTTCTTTTGTTTCTCCAAGTTTGATATTCTAGTGTCTTAGGTTTGTTCCACTAATATTGATTTTTTAAATTTTTTTATTTTTAATTAATTTATATTAATAAATCGTAGATTTTAAGGCGTAATGATTGAAAATAATTAATTGTTCCAGATTACTATTGGTTTATAGTTTATTAAAATGTTTAATAAAAATAAATAATTATCAAATTATTGTTTCTTAATATATGTGAAATCTCTAGAAAATCAATCTTCTAGGAACAGAAGAATTATTAAATTTTACATAACTACACGTATAGTTCTACTGATAAGTATTATTCTTATATAATTAAGTGTGACCTCACAACTATAAGTTTTTGACATAATTAGTTTTTGTTTGATTCTAGCCGTATAGCAATTGGATTAATTAAAGAAGTGAGGTCATACAGAAAAGAAACATCCAATATTAATTTATAAATAATCTATTATATAATAATGAAAAGGTTCTTAAACATAATTAACAATTTAACAACCAAATTGAAAAAAAAAACTCACTCATAAAACTCATACCTAAACTAAAAAAATAGTCCAACTATGATTAAGATGGAATTTCAACTCCCTATATTTAAATAATTCATTATATTTGTAAATAATCATAGACCTTAATGAGTAATTAACTAAAAAGTATGAATTTAATATAGAAAAGGTTTGAATTAGTAAGAGAAGAAATCCATGTAATTAACCAGTACAGTTTTGAAAGACGAGACAGAGTCATCAATTTTCAATTAAAAATTAATAAACCTCCTTTAGTTAAGTCAGAATATTCAACTTTGTGTCCTGTAATTATTTAAATCCATCATAAATTAGTCGTTTAGTTTGATAATTCTATTTTTCTTCCAATTCACGTAAAGAAAGAAACATTAGCAGCAAAGGGTAGTGTTGTAATAACGAGGTGATAAGACGAAAGATGAGTCATCAGATTCTTTGAGCTGCTAATCTCTGGCCACGTGTCAGCAATAAAGCGGCTAATATTAGCACTGTCTCGAGATGATAGAAACGACACCGTTCGATACCGAGCCAATGGAATAGAGGGATAAGTTTTTAGCAACTTGACTTTCTAATTTCTCTAATTTAGATATCATCCAAAAGTGCAAGTCTCTATCCTTTTTTATGGGCTCCCAAACGCATCTTTCCAATGTAGATAATTGTTATCTACATAAAACAAGACCTTTATATAAATATCGAATGATAAAAAGGTAACAAAGCTTTGACCCTAACAATAAAAAAAAAAATAGAAAGACGAAAGGTAATAAAGCAAAACTAACGAGATAAGATGAAGAAGTGTGGTGAATATACTAAAGTTTTGGAACGAACACTCAAAAGTATACAACGTAACAATGATTAATTAAAGTATTTAAATTTGGTTACGGAATTATATCTATCATTCTTAAATGATCAAAATAACTTTGTAAAACTTACTTAACTAAATGTGTTGCTCAACGGTTTGCTTCAATATTTCCTTTTCCCATATCTATGAAAGGGTAAAGATTGAAAATTACACAAAGGATAAACATAAATGAACAACTTGATATTGTATTCGAGTTGTGTGGTCAGAGTTCTTGTGGATACATTAATTTAATGTCGCAATACATTCTCTATTTCCTGACAATTATAGGAGCGTTTTAGCTAATCATATTACTAAGTGTCTGCTTTGAGAAACAGAATACTCCACGTGAAAAATGTGGCTAGTACAAAACAGAAACAAGCGATACAGAACAAACCAAATCAAAACTATATATATGGTGAGTTGGTGACTATGATTAGTGCAGTGTAATATTATAATGTTCATATTAAATGTACTTTGCGAAAATAAAAAGAGATAAAATTCGAGAAATTGTTTTAACACTTTAAGTGACTGAATTAAAAGAATTTGAATAAAATTGCATTGGTTGATGAAATTCATGTGCATGTTTTTTTTTTTTTTTTTTTTTTTTTTTTTCATGTGCATGTTTTTATCGAAAAAGGGTTGAATTAACAATAAAATAAAAGAAAAAACTAAATCAAACCACAATTGAACGCTCTATAATATTTAATGCGTTGATACGTTCGCATGTTCAAGATTTTCCTTCATGCATGTTTGCCGCTTAGTTTGAATCTCGAGAGATCCACGTGAATTATTTGACATTCGCAAATCACATTTTTCATCATCGAACTTCAAAAGTCTTCACTAATCCGTTTGTCAAAACCAAAGTCCACTACCCTGTTAATGATCTCACCCGCAAAATGTAATCTCCTTCAAATAAAACCACAAAGTAGCTTCACAACCGAACATTGCATTGCCATTACTATGGAACTCATTTTCCAACGTGGATTTAGATTAAGCCTGGCCTGTCAAAAAATAGATTCCATTTGTATCTCTCCCAGTCCATCTACCCTGAGATATGCGGCGGTCGTGTGACTTGTGTGATCGGTATAAATATCAACATAGTTACACTTAGACCATCTCCAATATAGAGCTCTATATCTTACTCTAAAATAGAGTAATTCTATTTTAGGGGAGAGTTTCTCTCCAATGTATATCTCTATTCTCTACTCTAAAAAAAAATATTCTTAGAAATATTCTATTTATATTTTATATACTAATACCTTTTAATTATATACTTTACAATTTGACCCCATATATTATAGATTTGCAAAATTCCCATAAAATATGAAATTATTTAAATTAAACACTAATTATTTATTAAAAAAAATATTACATCATATAACAATAATAAAACATTACAAATTTTATTTTAAATAACACCATTAGAATATTTTTCCCACATATGATCAATTAACTATCTTGGCGGATCTACAAGTAATTTACCGGACTATTAAATTACTAGTTTTATGGTTTAGTTTTCTTATGTTGTTTATTTTAAATTTAGTACTTGTTTGCTTGTTAAGTTTATAAAACTATGTGTTGTAATTGTTGTTTATAAAATGATTATATGTATTAAATAAAAAAGTTTAAATTTGAGGGACTAAAGTATAAATAAAAAAAGTTGAACTCAAAAATAGAGTTGATAATAGAGTTGCTCTATATATATAGTCAATCTGCAGAAATCTCTATTTTAGAGTCAATTATAGAGTAGAGTTGGAGAATAATTTTGCATTTTTACTCTAAAATAGAGTAGGATTGGAGATGCCCTTAGTACACTCATTCCTCTCCTAGTTTTTTTCCAAATTTTCTTTCTAATGAATATTATATAAACATTTTCTGTTGCTGTCAAAAAAAAAAAAAAAAAACATTTTCTGTTCAAAGGTCGTAAACATTTTCTGTCCAATTTTTTTTTTTGTTACCAAAAAAGAAAAGAATAAACATTTTCTTTCAAAACGCCAACGTTTCATTTACTTGAATATCTCGACGTTATTAGAAGGAAAAATCTTCGAAAGAGAGCACAACAGACAAAACAAGAAATCACAATCATCTGCCATGAAAGTTCAAAGGTCCAGAGGGGAAGCCGCAGCCACGATTTGACTCACCAACACTCTCTTCTCTTTCTCTCTCTTCATTATTATTGAAGAAAGATTCCAAATTTTTCAATTTCACATGAAACCTCACTTCTCTCTTCCTTTTGCTTTCGCATCTTCTTCGTCAACGAATCCTCGGACTCTCCGGCGATGCCCCGTCGATTAAACGACGGCGAGCCTGGCCGTTTTACCGCCACTGCTCTTCTTTTAATCGGTTTGATCTCTTGTGTTATCGTCTACGCTGTCTTCTCTACTATCCTCCGTCCTCAAGATCCTACCCTCGTTGATTCCGCTGTTCGATTCACGGAGGAGTCGCGAGATCACGACGCGGTTGAAGACGGTGGAGGCGGGTGTTGCCGTGGAATTGATAATCTGGAGCTTTGGGGTCCGGCGGTGAAATGGGGGACGGATTTTAAGTTTAATTCGTCGGATGGATGTTGTAAAGCTTGTAAAGTTATGTGTAGCGGCAACGATGGACCTTGCTTGTGCGATTCATGGGTCTTCTGTGGAAACAAAGACGCTTGTGGGTCGAAGTTTGGAGAGGTAAAAGTCTGATCCTTGTCATCGAATTGAATTGTGCATGATTTACCAATATCGTCCGCCAAGTGTTCGACAAAATGCCTAATTGCGCATTGTATCGTCAAATTTCTAGATATTTAGTCGAAAGTTACTAAATTTAAAGATTTTGACTCTGTGTGTGATTAGTGATTGAGAAATGCTGATTTTGATGACACTAACCACCGGTTCAAGTTCCAGAGACTGAGGTTGTTTTTTCTCTGCGCAGTGTTGGTTGAAGAAGCAAAAAGATGTCTTGATGCCTGATCGACAAGCAGGTGGCGAGAAAGTAATGTGGACATCTGGGCTTATCTTCGGACAAGGCCAGGTAGTGATCTATCATCTATCTAAAGTTTCTTGAAAATTAACTCCATTGATCGACCAAAATTCAAAGTTAATGCATTTTTTTTTCAAACGCTGGAAATAATAGGTTTCAATGAGATTTCACTAGTTATAACTTTAAGCGTGTTCTCATTTTCCTCAAAACATTTACTATTCCATGAAAATTACTCAGCCTTTGGTATTGATTTGTCTGTATGATTAGATGATAATAGCTTCCCTGTTTTATCAGATTTTCACAATATCATACTTTCACTGTGTTCTCAGTTTTCTTCTTTTAATCTGCGAATTACTGTGTTGGGTGATGTTATTTTGGTGGAGTGTAACCAAATCTTATGTCGCTCTGATTTTATTGTGCTGATAACTGCTCTGTTTTCCTTCTTCTCATGTAACAAATAGTGTTCTCGATGATTGTCGTAAATACTGATTAGCTACTTTGCTTCTGTTAGGGCATTGTTGCTTTTGAAACGGAACACGGGGTAATTCATGTCAAAGTAAGTATCTTATTTATAATGTCTTTTTTTGTACTTCGAGGGAAAGTTTCTGTTCTTGTTTAAAAGTTCCAGATTTGACACAATGATTCCCTTCGTTGCAGCTTCACCCTGAGTGCGCTCCTCACTCAGTATACTACATTCTGAGTTTGTTAACTCTACGCCACTGCGCAGGCTGCCAGTTTCATCGAGCGGAGAGCCGGGGATCATATTGGGACTCAGAAGGCAATCATGTAAAGAATGTAAGAGACCTTACACAAATTTTGCTTTTTAATTCTTAGATTTTGCTTACTCACTTTCCAGTATAGATCATAGCAGCTATGATCTGATCTCATGGTGCGAATATAGATTGATCTATGTCTTAGGATCTCTGTCAATTTGATAGACTCTTAGCCATTTGATTCATCCATTTTACATTTTTATTTATCTGTCTTTGATATTGAAGTTCAAATGTGTGATAGACTTTTAGCCATTTGATTTATTTGATTATATATTTTTCTAAGAGAATATCCGTCATTGATGTTAAACATCACGGGTGTGATCAATGGCAACTGACTGCCTCTGGCTAAACCCACATTGTTATACAATCCTGTATCTGGTTTGAGACTGTCTGGAGTATGCTTGTCACCTTTCTACCGAATAAATTTCCTTTGAAATGTTTGTTCATATCTCGCATATAATGTGAGGCACACCTGATTGTACTTTAGGCATAAACCGTAACTGGCCTGATCGCAGAGTAGACATTGTGACATGTGTTATGCACTGATTTCTGTTAATTTGATAGAAACTTTAGCCTTTTGATTCAGCTGATTGCACACCTTTCTTTTTAGAGAATAACACATCTTTAATATCGAAGATCAAATGAGTCGTGTGATGAATGCTTTAGTACTCTATGGAGTAAGCTTGTCGTGGTTCGGTTCAATTTCCGTTTTAGCTTGTTCATACCTTATTGCAGGCCTTTTGTCCTTTATACAAAGAGATTTCACTTGTTATTAAAAGCCTCACCCTTTATCCGTGTCCCTACAGGCTCCCTTTGGTCCACCATACGCTATGATCCAAGGAATACTCCAGGCCGAGGGAAACATGTTCACACCGATCCCAATCGAGCACTGCCCAACTATAAGCCGTGGCTCGGTGGCGTGGGTCGGCTCTGGTCCAGAATTCTTCATTAGTTTGGTAAACCACCACGAATGGAAACAATCTTACACTGTATTCGGCTCAGTCCTACCAGAAGACATGGATGTTGTGGAGACGATTGCCAGTTTACCAACTAGAGCCGATGTCTGGAACAGCGTCAATGTCTCTGTACTGGAGAAACCGGTGTCCTTAACCGTACGGAGAATGAAGACGGGCCAAGACCAAGAAGAAACCGGTTCATGAAGAACACAGCTTGAAATGAGTTCAGAATAGTTTTTGTTTCTTTTTCGGAATTTTACAATTTATCTTTGTTCAATGTTCATAGATAGAAACTACAACAAAAATAACTTAAAAAATTTCGTGGTTTCTGGCCATTTATTGGTTATTAGATCAGTAGCTTCTCTTAGGTATGTCAAAGATCTCTTGGTAGCTAATGGAAGAGAGTGGAATATGGACTTAATTCACATTGTGTTCCCAGAGGTAATAGTCCAGCAGATGGTCCAAATTAGGCCCGGGGGTAATAATACACAAGATAGTTTTACTTGGGACTATTCTAATGATGGGCAATACTCCGTGAAGTCTGGATATTGGGTTCTTAAGGAAATCATTAGGCGCAAGAATAGACCACAGGAAGTGCTCCAGCCTAGTTTAAATCCAATCTTCCAACAAATCTGGAAAACAGACGCATCTCCAAAGCTGCAACACTTCCTTTGGAAATGTGTAAGTAACTGTCTCTCTGTGGCGGGCAACCTATCTTACAGGCACCTAGCACGGGAGGGATCATGCATTAGATGCCCCTCACAAGTAGAAACGGTTAACCACCTGCTTTTCAAATGTGCCTTTGCTCGATTAGTATGGGCTATCTCTCCCATACCAGCCCCTCCAGGTAGTGAATGGTCTGAATCTCTCTATCAAAATATTTACTACCTGCAGAATATAAACCAGGAGCATCCCCAATTGAATCTTGAGGGTAGCTTGGCTCCATGGATCCTATGGAGGCTATGGAAGAGCAGAAATGATTACATTTTTAAAGGGAGAGAATTTTCAGCGCAAGAGGTAGTTCAAAGAGCAAAGGAGGATGAAGAGGAATGGAGAATGAGAAAGGAACAATGCAACCAGCCGTCTCAGGTGAAAAATACTGAGCAGCACAGGATCAAGTGGGAACCGCCACAACCAGGATGGGTAAAGTGTAATACAGATGGGGCCTGGAATGCAGAAAGTATAACTTGTGGTCTTGGTTGGATTTTACGGGATCATGAGAAGAGAGTGTTGTGGCTGGGAGCAAGATCCTTACCTCGGGTTGGAAAAGTGCTAGAAGTTGAGGTTGAGAGTCTTAGATGGGCTGTACTTTCCATGGTTCGACTGAACTATCGAAAGGTAACTTTTGAGACTGATTCTCAACAGCTGGTGTCTTTGATCAGGGGAGAAAAAGAAAACAATCACCTAAATCCAATCATTCAAGACATCAAGCATCTTCTACAGCAATTCGAGGATTATAGAGTGGTGTTCACGTATCGAGAAGGCAATGGCGTGGCGGACAGAATAGCAAAGGAGTCTCTTTCTTTTGAGAATCATGACCCTAAGTTGTATTCTGTAGTGCCAATATGGGTTAAACCCTTTGTAGACATAGACAATATGTAACAGGTTATTGGTTAATATGAAGTTGAAGTTGAGTAAAAAAAAAAAAAAAAAAAAATGAAAATTTATTGGATAACTCTTAACCGGTAAATTGAACCGAAACTGAATACAGTGACTCCAAATTGAACCGGATCCATTGGGTAACTCTCAACCGGTAAATTGACTATCTGGTTGAGAGAGAGGTCTCTTAAAACGACCGCGCGTATTCGGCGGCGGTGGAGAAGGTTTCGTCGGGTGCGCACACGTCACCCACTCCGCGGCGCACTTTAGCACAACTCTCAACCGGCCACCTCCTTCTCGGCCCAATCCTTCATTAACCTAACTTTTTTTTTCTAACCTACGCCTCTCCTCTCCTCCGCCTCTTTATTATCTCTTACCCACCGCTCTTTCTACTTTCACTAATTTATTCTTCGCCGCCGCAATGTCTATCCCCGATGATGGATCTCCCGTCGCCATGGCCATCGATTCTTCCACCGCCGTAACCGTCGCCACCACCACTACTAGAAGAGTTCCTCCTCCGTGCTGGACCGACGAAGAAACCGCGGCGCTTGTCAATGCCTACAAGGATAAATGGTTCGCCCTCCGCCGTGGGAACCTTCGTGCGGCTGATTGGGACGACGTCGCCGCGGCTGTTTCGTCCTCGTCCACCGTGGGAGGTCCGCCGAAATCAGCAATCCAATGTCGACACAAGATCGAGAAGCTACGGAAACGTTATCGCGGCGAAAAACAACGGTCTCTTAATCGACCAGGCAAGTTCTCTTCCTCTTGGGATTTGTTCCCAATCTTGGATGCTATGGGATTCGCTCCGGTGACTCCGGCGGCCGTAGAAACTTACGATCCCGATGTGGATCATGATGATGAGAGTAACGGTTTGGATGGATTTAGGGTTAGATCGAAGAGGTCTGGGAAGTTTAGCGGTGGTTACTCTGATTCACCTCGAGATGTAGGAGATGGATATGGGGTTAGATCTAGGGCAAGGAGTAACATGAAATTGTATGGTGGTTTCAAGTCTGAGTTTGAATCAGATCACGATTCAGGAAGTGGATTTGGATTGAAGAGGAAATACAATGGGAATCCAAAGGTTAGTGCTGATTTCGATGCTGATTCTGATGATGAGATTGTGTTAGTCCCCAAGGCAACTAGGCTTCGGGGTCATGGTAAGCCTTCCTCTGGCGATTTTAGCCATGGCGGTGGTGGTGGTTTTCCGTTGAAGTCGTTTGGTGATCGAAATTTCGCTTCTCATGGATTTAAACCCAAGAATTTCAGTAAGCCTGAACCCAATTTCTCTCAGGATCTGGATTATGATGATGAGTTTGATGATGATAGAGCAGAGAGGGAAGGATTCAACTCGAGGATTCAAAGTTCTAGGAGCTCTTCGCGGGTGAATGGCTACAGCAGGAAGGATGGGAGCTATCCTCGAAACACTGGTGTTTCCAATGGCTATGGATCGTCTTCTAGGTTCAAGCATGAGCAAATGAATGCAGCAGCAGAAGTTGAGTCTGACCCGATTGATGAAGTTGTCTCTTCTGTTAAGATGTTGACAGAAATGTTTGTGAGGGTGGAGAATTCGAAGATGGAGATGATGAGAGAGATGGAGAAGTCGAGAATGGAGATGGAACTGAAGCATTGCCAGATGATGCTGGAGTCACAGCAGCAGATCATAGGTGCGTTTGCTGAAGCATTGAGCGAGAAAAAGAGCACAAATGCAAGGAGGCCAGTTTAGTAGTAGCAAACTCTCTTATTAAAGAGGAATGAACGGTTTCATAATATGGATTTTCATATGGTATAATGGTCAAATAGCTTTTGAGTGTAGTACGAAGTGTCTTCTTCGAGTTACTAGGAACCAAAACGGCAGTGAAATTTGATGCGAGTAATGCAGGTGAAGTTTTTAATTATTGGCATTTTGATAATTTGATAAGATGAAATTTGTGTTTGAACGTAGGTTAGCCAAATCGTTTTGCAGTGACTTTTTTTTTATGTTGGAACAGAGAAGTAACTCATTTTTTCCCGCCTTTCAACTTGGAAAATTCGATACTTTCCCATGGTCAGAAGAAATTCGCAGGTTGGTACAAATTGTCTACAGAACTTAGTTTCATATAAACAACTTTCACAGTCTATGGATGATACCTTAGTAGTAAACTTGTAAAGAGTTAAAAACTTAACAAAGGGACATAACTCATTCTACATAAGGTGAAAAAAACAAACCAGACACTAAAGTTGAGGGAAATTCTGGAAGAAGAGCTAATTCCAGAGAAGAAATTATTAAAACACTCTTGAACTTGAACGCTTCAGGCTTCATTACGATAGCTCCTGAGATGAGGTAAAGTACCTCGCTGGAAAGTCCACTCGGTTGGTTCCGGCGACGTTTATTACAAAAGAATGCCAAGATAGGAGGAAATAATATGAATCCTGTTATCACCGGGTATGCAAAGGGCAAAAGGGACGCTGCGACCTCCCCAAATCGGCTATTTGGACTTGGGAATGTTTCGATGAATGATGCAAAATTAGCCATCCCTATAGCTGCTGTTGAACCATAAAGAACCATCCACATAGGCAGTCCAATTATGAGGATCATGATCTCATAGAGAGATGAGACATGGTCATCTTCCCAGCTGCGTGATCATTATCTTGGGTTGAATGTTGAATCTGAGGAATTTTCCTGCCAATATCCACCAGGAGGACTAAGACCAGCTTGGTAGGTGGCTGTTACTATCAGTATAGCCACCAAAAGTATTGCACTGCGACTGTCATTACTATTTAAAGATCTGTGGCTAGTCTGGAACAAATGGTTCAGCCCTAAGAGCTTGTTCTGCTTCTCAATTAGCGATGGCCTTTCGCGCAAGAATCCCACAAGATTCATCGTGGGTCCAAAAAGTAATTTATGTTTAGCATTTCGGAGAAGTCTGCTTACTTTAGGGAAACAAGGAGATTGGTGAGTCTGAAGTATGTCCATTGCGGTCTTACCAGCCAAGTTTTTGGCTTTTACTTTCACAGTTCTACGTAGTAGCTTTATGACCTGCAAAAGCGAGCACACATTAACATCTATGTATTACTGATAACTCCACTCGTCAGTATCCCAAGAACTTTCACAAGAACACAATCGAAGAAAGCAAAGTCCCCCAGATGTTAAGAAGCTCCAAGCAAATACCAGAGTTATAATTTCCAGTTCTAGAGCAAGATGAGATCATATCTATTTTTATGGACCAACAGCAATGTTTGACCAAGAATTGGTATGGCAAAAAAAGAGTTTTAGGGAAAAAGAGTAACTAAGTGAGAGACTTATACCTCTGGTTGATTTGTCAACGCAGCAATATGGAAGACTGTGTTACCATCTTCATCCTTCCAGTTCAAGATTTCTTCTTTGTGTGCTCTCTGAACCCATCCCCATAGAACCTTAAATGCCAACAGCTGGTGGTTCCTGACGGCTATATGCACAGCTGTCTCGCAATTTATAGTTAGATCTTCTACAAACAAGAACTCGGTCAACAACTCTGGATGACCTATTTGAACCACATAATGCAAAGGGGTGATCCTTCCTCTTCCCTTGATGCTGACTAAGCTGCTGTCAATTGCCACAAACCCTCTCACAGTTCGAAAATGGTCGTTTTTCAGGGCTAAGTGCATTGGGCTGAAACCTGACGGGTTTAGCTTCAACGCAAGCGACGGCTTAAGGGTCATCAATTCCATGGCGAAATGAGTTTGTCCCCTTTCAGCTGCAATGTGAAGTGGCGTCTCACAAAAAGGCAGTTCATCAAAGTATCCTAGAATCTTTGGTTCTTCTTCAATCAACTCGTAGAGTCTGTCAATATCCCCAACTTGAGCCGCCTCCTTAATTCTCTCATAGATATCAACAGATGGAGCTGCCATATCCGATACTCGATATTGACAACCTTTTCTGCAGCCACAATACTTATCCAGGCAGCTCCTACAACTCCTGGTTAAGTACAAACACAAAGTCTCTGGCAACTCCTCGCATATGATTATGAAGGACATTGATTGTCCCAAGTCCAAACTATTCTTTTTTCATATATCTTTTTCTTGAAGTAACATGGCAAATAGATGGATTTAGTGAGTTTAAAAAGATGTTTGGGCCAAACACTAACTTAAGTACAAAAGACCAAGTCTCCGTCAACTCGTTGCATATGAATGACCTTGATTCTTTTAGAGATATATCATAACGTGACAAAATCAGCATTGAGCTTTACTTCATACTATAATATAATTGTTGGTGGATTTAAACCCACAATTCAAACCTCACCACGTTTACTAATTTTGTAATGTCCATTAACGGGTGTTAAATCGCGGGTTTGATACCACCAACAATTCAAAGATGAGAATTTTTTAAACCAAATATAATTAAATGAAGTATTTTTCTTCCAACCAAAAAAGTTAGTATTAAACATCCAAAAAAAAAATAGATAGGTATTTTTCGAGTTTTTTTCTCTAGTAAATTAGAATGTCACTTAACTAGTTAAAAGTCTTTTTGTTTCTCTTCAACATACTTTTTTCTTAAACTTATTAGAAAATAATCTGCATTATGTGCGGGACAAAACGATTATTATTTTTTTAATTTTTTTTATATATTGTTTGATAAACGGTGATGTATTATAGATTATCGAGATTAGTGAAATTTTCATTTATGTATTAATGTTTAACGACATCAAATAAACAGTTTAACGACCCACGTTTACGGTTTAACGTTGACAATAATGAGGTCAAATTTTGTAAATTCGAACTAGGATTGGGGGGGGTTTATTATGCATATAAGGTAATTCAGAAATTAATCTGAAAATTTTGGATACTTGGGGAATTAATTGAGAGTTTTCCCCAAGAACACACTCACTTGCATATTTACCATCATAACCCTCTCCAACCTCGTAACCACTTCTCGAGGAAGAAGGGTATCACAGACTCACAGTCATTTGAGACATTTGAGTACACAGCAATTTCAAATGTTATTAGATTCATACAACTAAGTGGACATGACGCTTATAAGCTGAATAGGTTCTGGCTTTTAGTGCAAAGTCATATAAACCTTCGATCACAATGGATTTCGATTCACATCTTTGTACAACAAATACCGAGACCTAGTCTTTCCGAGTGCAGCATACCTGAAACAACGAACAGTTGCTGAGATAGAGTGGTTGAATAAATATTTCAGGTCAAATCAATACACAGTTCCAAAAGAAAGCTCTATTCTTCTTGCAAAGGTTTGAAACAGAGTAGAATTTTTCATGTTGTGGGAAAACAGTCTCTTACCATTGAGGGACAAAAGGAGCCATCCATATGACATCACCAGCCTGAACTGGATACCTATTCAAAGACGAGATCATATCAAAGTTAAAAACATTTCTTGTATTGTGTGGAATATAGCTGTGCTTCCAGTAATATCTTGGAACATGCTTCTGATCACATTACATGACCGATGCAGAAAACTATTGTTCTTTGTTGTGCATGTGGTGTGTTTCTGGAAGTTATATAGATCCACAATTATGATTTATTAGTACAGTGTTGCGTACCAGTTATCGCCCAAGCGATAAATGCCTTGGCCCTCCAGAAGCAACAAACCATGTTGGTTATAATGAACTTCCTGTTCACATTGCAAAATTATTGACAAGACGAAATGGAAAAAGAACAGTTAAAAAAGCAAGTTATGAGCAGCAGATGGTGTCAATATCTGCATATGGTAATGAAGTTAACCTGTTCTGTACCTTAACATTCAGAAACTCTCCAGGCTGAAAATCCATAATCTGCATATGACAGACACAACAGTAATCAAGCTTTAGAGGTCTCAAAAACCGAAAGGATTCATTCGATCAAGTGAAGTGCTTACATGGATGTTGAAGTCATAAGCAAGGGACATCGGAAGAAGTTTCCGCAGTTCAAAAACCTGTATTAATAACAAAATAGATCTTCAGAAATGAGTAAATTAGGATCTAAAACTTGTATTACAATGTAACTGAAAGATTTTTCTATGCATTCTGAGAAAAGTGGAGAACTTTTGCACACTCACCTCACCAGGAGTCTCAAGTAGTGGTTGCTTGTCTGTGGAGCCAATGATAAGCTCTGTAGTATGACTTCCTAGATGTTCGTACCTAGAGATGTAGCAGTATAAGAGGAGTTTTCAAGTTGTTAATCGACGCGAAGCCTGAAATTTTCTTAACGTATTAAGAGGAAGGAGAAGAACCTCCGCTCGAAGACAACAAGTGTTGCAGACTCAACACAGTCCATGGAATGATGAAAGTTTGGAGGTAGGTACACATATGAATCAACCTACAGGAAAAATGGATTATCAGCAGAAAATGAAAAAACTAATGGAGAAATCTTGCAACCATTTCACCATCAAAGCTGGGCAGAGATGATGTAACCAGAAGAATACTGTGGTAAATTATTCTTTATACAAATCATACCGTCAATTGTTTTGAAGAACTGGATGTGTTAGTGAGTGTGACAGCACCCTCGACCACGAATACAAGACTTGAAGAAGATACAAAATATTGAAAGGAGTTAATAAGCAGACTATAGATCATAAGTGTAAGCAAATGTTAAAGATAGAGCTCATATAAGTAACAATACCGCTCTATGTCTTGTGGAGGCAAGCCTGAACTTGACATTTCTGCAAGAGGCAATAAAATCACCTAGATGATCTCCAAATTCTACGAGTAAATCATATAAAACCGCAAATCCTAAAACCCTAAATCACTTGACTTGTTCTGCGTGAAGCAAGAACAAGGCAATGTTCTAATAAGAATGAGATAAGTGTAGCAGCACACTCAAGAACAAAAAGCTAGTTCGTAAAAGATTAACTCTATTATCGAAGAATATAAGAAAATCATCCCAAGAACTTGACGTTCATTACTTGTGAGAAGAGAATGGTTTCAGACCTTTCATTTTCGCCAAGTACATGACAAAATGGGATCCTGTTGCCGGAGTGATCAAATATGCCCCTAATGTGTTTTTCCTGTAAATTTGAGCAACAAATAAGTGCAAGAACTTGCCAACTTTGGACTTTAGTAGCTATAAAATCAAGAAAAGTAGGGAGATTAAAAGAGAGTTATGTACCAGTCAGGTAAAGGGCTGTAAACATGACTTTCCGGTGTTATTAACGCATGATCTCGTTTGTATACACTTCGTGTGAAACCAGGCAAGTCTACAAAACAACAGAATCATAAATTTTCTGCTTAAACACTTAATGAAGATGCAAATGCAAAATGCCCAATTCCAAATTTGATCAGAAAACCAATCTAATTATTATACAAAGGGAGAACTCTCAGAAAGAGCCTATATCAGCAGAACTGAACATGAATGCTTCCATGGTTATGTCAGCCACCTAATTGATCAAAAGTTAAGAGCTTTTTGCATGACATGAGCCAGAAACCCTCTCAAATTAAACACTAATTCAAGTAATCCTAACTTTTCAATAACATAATCTCAAAATCAATCCTCTACGCCAAGACCTCGAACAATTGATCTAAAACAGAAATCGAACTTAACCAGCAAAAGTATCAAACTTTTTATAACACGAAGCTGTAAGAAAACACTTGAACCTTGGAGGTGTGAAGGAGAGAGTGTTGGATTCGTGGCTTTCCAATAAATGGGTTTCGTCTTCTCATCCGATTCAGCAATCGAAGGCGCTGAACAAAACCCATCATCGCTTTTCGAAGCTTTAACAAGACCTTTGATAACAAAGTTCTGATTAGCTTCACAGTATACAAAAAAGAACTTAAGAAGAATCTAAAAGATTCGTACTTACTGATAACGATGAAGAAGATTAAGTGACGTGATCGCATTTTTGCTGAGAATTAGTGAAACGATTCAGGTTCAATGCTTTATTCATTCATGTTTATAAAAATCTGAAGAACACGACAGATGATTCTCTGAAGTGGCCAGTAGATGTTTTTGTTCGGTAGCCTCATAAAATTATATATTTTTCGAAAAAGCGGAAATTCCCGGTTTTACTTCGGTTTGATTTGGTTTATTTTAAAATCGAAAACCGAAATTCTACTATTGGGCCTATCTGTTGAGCCCATTAATTAATGTTATGAAGCCCGAGTTGATACAGATCGTCGTTATCGTTTCAGGGTCTCGACGACTCTTCTTTCTCTTTCTCTTTCTCTCTGCAACAAACAAAAAATGGAGGTAGCAGCAGCGACTGCGACGAGTTTCACAACGCTCCGAGCTCGTACGTCAGCGATTATCCCGTCTTCAACACGTAATCTGAGATCTAAAGCGAGATTTTCTTCATCTTCTTCGCTTAGAGCTTCTCTCTCGAATGGCTTTCTCTCTCCGTATACCGGAGGAAGCATCTCTAGTGACTTCTGCGGCGCTAAGCTTCGTGCGGAATCACTTAATCCGTTAAATTTGTCTAGTTCGAAACCTAAGCGCGGAGTTGTCACTATGGTACTCGAATTTATACTTTTTTCAGTTTCTTAATTAACGAAGCTCCCTATACTGTTAGGATTTTGAAATTTTGGTTTTCGTGGCTATAGCTGAGATATATGCTCCCTTAGTAGTCGATTTCAGGAAATTGTGTTGGCCGAGAACTGTTGTTTCTTAGTTTTGAACCAGTGGATTAGAGTGATGAATGCTCATTCATTTTTATTGCTGAGATTTATGCTTCTGTGGTAATGAATTTCCAGAAATTGTGCTTCGACCAACTGTTGTTCCTTTAGCTTTGAACCGGCGAATTAATGGATTAGAGTGACTCTAGATATATGCAATTAGATAGCAAAGACTGCACATTCATTTCTGTTGTTTAATTAATCGGAAATGGTACATGTTTAGTTAGAGAGTTGAGTATGAAGATTAAATACTGCAGTTTGGGAAGAAATTATGTGCTGTGTGTTTGGCTGGTAAGGAAGAAGTTGAGTTATTATGTGGCAGAGTATTCACATTATTGTGTGCTACTTATAATATGCATCACTTGCTTTGATTATGATTATGGAGCCCCTGGCTGTCATAGAGAATTTGGAGGCTGCTATATTCTTCCAATATAGTTTTTTGTTTATTGTTGATCAATTCACTGTTGGTGAGCCTTTTCTTTTTCTAAGGTTCTTATCGTCGTGCTTCTCTCTTGTCAACAGGTTATACCTTTCTCAAAGGGAAGTGCACACGAACAACCTCCTCCTGATTTGGCATCATATTTGTTCAAAAACCGAATTGTATATTTGGGAATGTCTCTTGTACCTTCTGTTACTGAGTTGATACTCGCGGAGTTTCTTTACCTTCAGTATGAAGACGAAGAAAAGCCTATCTACCTTTACATAAATTCGACAGGGACAACCAAGGTAGGCT